GGCCCTTTTCCCCTTGCCCCGCCAGGGTGCAGAAAGCCCTAGTGCAGCGGTTAAGCAGGGATGGTGAACCTGACCACAAGTTCATCCAATTAAAATAAACCCAGGGAATTAATTGTAGAGCAGCCTGTGCAGGGAGGGGGGATTTCCAAGGCTGGCCAGCTCTCCCCAGCAAGGAACAGGTTTAATGAGCCTTTGTCCAGCCTCCTTTATCCATTGCTAATTGCCCGCAGGCTGCCCGAGGTGCTGGGTCTGCCTTTGCCCTGGTAGCAAGGCCAAAGGTGCCATCGCTCACCGGTCCTTCCCCCCAACTGGGAGCTGTGCCCAATGGCCCAGGCGGGGGTCACAGGGAGGGGGGGCTGGTACCTGCAGGATGCGGGGGGAGCCCTGACGCCCCAAGGTGCCCAAGATGAGCCCCCAGCAGCGGGCGCTGGCGGCGGAGCGGATGGCGTCCTGCCGAGTGCGGTGCATGCGCTCGTGGCTGTAGTGCTCCTGGGAGAAGACCTTGCTGTAGGGATCGTACCTGCAAAGCAGAGCCGGGCTCACACGCACCCCATCACCTGCACCCCTCCACGCTGGCCTCAAATGATGCCCATCCCTCGTTAGCACTAATTGCCTCTGACAGCATCTCTCCCCTGGCCAACCAAGGGCCCAGGTGGGTCGTTAGGGCACAGAGATGGGACATCGATACGGACAAGGCAAGGGTCCCACCACAGCCCCCCGGCACCCAGCATGGCCTGGGCTCCGCGCTTGGCTTCATGCTCAGCTCCCCTCCGTCCCGGCTCATCAATTATGAAGAAATCTTTGATTTGTTGCTTTGTTTGACGAGGAGAATTTTAATCAAATCCCACTCGGGTTTCGGGAGCTTCACCAGCGCCATAAACCTGACGTGCGCCTCCCGTTAGTAACAAACGACCTACTAAGAAATTCAGATTTCTCCAAATGGGCCCAGCCTTTCACTCTTGATATTTCATCTGCTTTCAGCGGCCTCATCATCGCGCTTTATGGCCTCTGCCTGCAGCAGCCGGGCTTTAATGGCTGCACCTCCACGCGCTTTCACAGGTACTTGTCAAAATGTTTATATTCAGACGAGGTAAATGGCTGACGTTCATCTCCTCAACGCACCTCTTCCCCCGCCCCGCACCCCCCCGCCAGCCTGTGGCTGCTGCAGGCACCTCTCTGCCCAGCCCTGGGGTGCACAGTGGGGACAGCTTGGGTGCTTCCTGCTGCAGGGCTGTTGGGGACCGGAGCGGGTTCCTGCGGGTTGCCCATACCTGTACGCAGGTATCCCTGGGTTGGTGATCATGATGGACTCCAGATGGAAGCGCCCATCGCCCAAATACCTGCCGAGAGGAGAGGGAGAGCTACAGCACGCGGCAAACAGCGGAACCTGCCCGCGTGCCCAACTATTTCCCAAGCCGCAGCGTGTGGAGATGCTGGGAAGGG